TATATAAAATTTATATTACACTAATCAAATTACAATGTCTAAATGAGAGTGAAAGAGAGAGGCTTAACATTTCTCCTTTTTTAAGGGAAAAAAAAAAAAAAAAGCTTCATTGTAGCTTGAAAAATAAAGGAGAATTAAGCAAGTACATCGACCAGGACCACCGACTGAATTGTACGTTCGTAAAATAAAAAATATGTTTTTAATATTTTTTTTTTTAAACTGATTTTACAAGAGACTGGGTTCGAACCCAACCCTGAGGAGGGGGGAATGCACCATGGGTGGCTATTGCCACTTGACCCGAAGGGCTCGGTGCATATGTTTTTAATAATTGAGGAATGTTACAGCGTAAGAAATGATTTATAAGTTAAAATTGTTAAAAATTAAAAACTTATTTTAAAATAATTATTTTTTAATTTTTTATAAATAAAAAATTTAAGGACAATAATTATATTTATTTATAATACTTTTAAAAAATAAAAGATAAAAAAATATTTCTTGTGATTGGATAATTAATTAAAGTAAATGAATAATGATAAAGTTTAAGTAAGAAAAAATATTTATCTAAAATAATTAATCTAAAATAAATTTAAAATAAAAAAAGTTGTTTTCGAATAAAGGAAATAGTAACTAAATTTGACATCTAAACCAAATCATTTTAAGAATTTTTCAACTGGTGCTATTATAAATACATATTAAATATATATTTATTACAACTTTTTATTACAAGTATTAATTTATATAAAGAATTATAAAAAAATTATTTTTAACACTAATACAAGTGAAACATTTATTTAAACAATTAATAAAACTTAATATGACTTTTATTTTTCTATAAATCAATAATAAAAATGTGTAATACACATTTAACGTGTTCCATTAGAAACATGTTAGAAATACCCATCTTTTTACAAGTTGCACCTTCGCCTTCCGCCGGCTCCCGTTTTCTTATTTTGCTAGAAAACGCATTCTTAATTGTCTCTTTCCTCATCTGGTTTTGAAATAGGTTTTATTTTGGAATTAAGGGTATTAGACTCTAATCAACTTCACTTTTCAAAAGTTACAATGTTGTATGGTCCCCATTTCTTTGTAAATGGGTATTTAACCAATCCTTCAAATTAAAGTACCCCATATATTTTTGTTTTGTAGGTGCAATTTGGGTGCTTTCTTGCCTTTTAGAGTAATGGTTCCTCGATCGGTCGATGTCAACCCCAGCAAGAAAATTCGACAAATTAGTCACTTTACAAAATCTTCATCCTTCTTCTTCATTTTTTAAAGAGGGGGCTGGCTAATTGGAATGTAAGAATCTTCACTTCAATATTTCAATTGGCTTCTCTTGGTTTGCATTTGTGATGTTGTATTGGGTAGCTCCTCTGTCACTTCTCTCTAAAGTACATATAACAAACAACAAGAATAATTTTTTTTAGATCGTATTTGGTGGGCATTTTATTCAAATTTTATTGGTGTCAATGATAGTAAGAGTATGCTGATGGTCCTACAATAGGTAGTCTAGAGGTGGTAGCATTATTGGTGAAGAGAGTTTTTGTATTTTAAATTTGTAATGTTATGACTTGTCATTTTAGGTGTGTGGGGCTAGGATGGTGGAGATGAGGTGGTGATGGTGATGTTTATGTGGCATTGAGAATTTAGGAGGTGCAATTAATGGTGGTTATGAGAGAGGTGGCAAGGGCATAAAATGTTGAATTGGATACATAGGTACTCAACATAAAATTGGCATGTCTTAAGTTTGCTATAGCTAGGTAATAGAAGAGCTGATAGTGTCATTGTGATGCAAGTTGAAATGGCGATGATAGATGAGGCAAAGTGATGTTGTTAGAACTAGTGATTCAAAGATTCCAATATAGCTTTTGACTAGGAGTTGATCCAAACAAAAACTAAAACTATTTTTTCTTTTAATATTGGTATCTAAGGTTAGGATTCAATTTTCGTTTTTGAGTCTCATTGCAAAGTTGTAATCGTCTACTTGAGAAAAAGATGATTTTATTGACAAAAAGAATTCAGAATTTTTTAGAGGCAATTTGCCTTAATTCCCTTCAATTCAATTTCTTGTCATTGTCTTCTCTCTCTTCATTACCTTTATTTATTCTTGAAATTCCATAACTCAGATTTAAGTTTGTAAACCAAAAATAGATCCTTTTTTATTCACCAAGTTTCTTTCCAATCTATCACTAAGCTTAATCCCCAGTTCTAGCACCAAAAATGAAAGACTTATTAATGATCTTTGAATCATTTTTCCTTTATGTCTGTTATTCAAAGGACATTATCTTACATGTGGAAATAAGAGGAAAGAAGTAGCATGAAGGATAATGTTTGCAATTTGCTATATAATGGTGATTTTGAAGTTAACAAAGCACTTTTCCAATCAAGGAGAAATATTTTCATTCTAGGTGGCTAACAATTTGAAGTTATATAATTTTTTTAGTATAATATATATCTTTTAGTTTAGTAATAATCTCTTTTCAATAGAAGTAAGAAATCTTTAATTTGAGTTGTATATCATTTGAATGAGACAAGTAAAGGGATAAAAAGAGTTGTCTCCCATTGTGCAACCTAAGATCAAAAAAAGGAAAAATGATGCTAATCGTGTTTAGATACTTGCAACAAATGTTAAACTGATAATTATGTAATTTATTATCCAATTATGTATTAAATGTGCTTCTACTGGTTTGAGAGGCTGAATGTTGGGGGAAATTTGTCATTGAAGAACTTCAATATATTGCATATGCTCTATGCTACCAAGGTATAGTGTGGAGACCACCATAGCTATAATTGTTGATGAGAATGCCATCTTAGAGGTAGATACCCAACATATGAGGGATCTTAGCTTCCAAGCTGGTTTCATCTACCAATTCATGGTGAACTCCATATTCAAATTTCAACCTAACAACAATGTTAGTTTTAAAATTGGTTAAACCCCCTTTTTGGTCCCTCAACTATTGTACGGACCTCCGATTGAGTCCCTCAACTCAAAAAATCCCTGACTT